TGTGCTGACTTCTCTCACCTACAGAACGTGCCGTGTGCTGACTTCTCTCACCTACAGAACGTGCCGTGTGCTGACTTCTCTCCCCTGAGACGAGGAGCCCCCTGACTTTCATAGACAAGACACTTAGGGCAGCATTTAGCTTAGAGAAGAAACTGTACTGGTCTACCAATGGTCCTCTCTGTTCCCCTCTTCATCCCGGCCTCTTCCTCCCTCTTACCCTCCCTCCTACACTTTCAGAAGCAATTACACTGCAATATAAGATCCTGCTTGACTAACAGTGGGGGCTACATCCCCATAAATCCACCATAAGTCATAGCTGTCACCTTGGAAGTGCATTTAACACAACACCTCGTCGAACCCACAGCTCAGCCTCTGATCACGTTGCTTCCCCTGGGACAGGATCAGCGTTTAAATCTGAACTACAGTTTTTACTGAATGTAATTACAGTACTGTTTTCATATCATCCAAAGTTGAAAACTCTTATTGTGGCGATTGTAAATCGTGCTGCAGTAAATAGAGAGTGCTGGCGTTCTTCTGAATTAGTGTGTCTGTGTACTTTGGAGAGGTGCCTAGCAGTGGAATTTCTGGGTCACACAGTAGATTTGTTTTTAAGTGATTTAAGGAATGTACACAATGGAATAGTACTCAGCAGTCAAAAGAGATACAGGCATACCATGTGCAGCAACATGAATGGAGGTGGAAGGGATGATACTAAGTCAAATAAATCGGAGAGAGAAAGACACCAATCAGATGGTTTCCCTTCTAGAAGGAATCTAGAGAAATCGAGCAAAAGTCAAGAAAAAAGATGACACTTGTAAGCCGAACGCAGATCCGAGGCATTCAGCAAGGGCAGGAAGGGAGGGGAGTCAAACGGAGGAGGAAAGAGCACAAGGGATGTGGTGGTGGAGAGCCGTGGGAACTAGACCTGCGGGGAGGAGCCAAGGGCTGCACAAAGTGAACACTCCTATGGGAAAATAAATACAGAAATAGAAAGGTTGAACAGTCATGAAGCCATAGCACGTGGAGCCGGTCCTTACCTGGACGGGGCCTGCGGGCTTCTCCCGGGCACGTAGGTAGCAGCATAGGCCGTCTCCTCCAGCCAGCTGCCTTGGCCCGGCTCTGTGCTGGGATCAGACCGGTCACATTATTCATCCAAATTCACTTCACTGTATCACTCACTTTGGAACCCCCGAGCACCCCACTCTTCGTGACCACTAATATTGGGGTCAGCGCACAGCCCAGTGTCTCCTGTTACCATGCTCTCTGAGAAAACCGCCCATGTTGCCATGTAATTCTCAGCTCCCTGGAGTTCACTGCTGAGACTGGAAAGGGCGCTGGGAGCACAGGTGAAGAGAACTGTGTTCAGTCTGTCCACGTGGGTGTCTCAGATGCTGGAGGCACAGACACGTGGTGTCACCAAGCCCTGAAGTTTAAATAAGTGCTTTAAAATAGTTACAGGTCACCTGACAGGAAGAGAAAATGTTGTCTCACCTCCCTGAGAACAGATGATGCATAACTGAAAGCGTGGATAGCCAGACCGTGGCCCAAGCCTATTTTTCAAATGTAGAGCTGGGTTTTGAAACAAGCAGCCTGGGCCCAGGGCCAAGCTCTCCGCGAGAACAGAGATTGCGGTCTCCAACGTGTAAGCAAATACTGGGGAGATTGTTGGGGAAGGAGCAATGAAGACAGGCTCCCGGGAGGTAAATGTGCTCAAAGCCACACTACTCAGTGGGCGTGACAGGTGAACCTTAGAAAAGCCAAGGCGAGACGCAAGGGAGTCTGAGAACTTAGGGGGAGATGAATTGATCCCTCTCCTCGCTGCCCTTCACATTAGAAGAGTTCTACAAACACTGCGTCGTTAACAAAGACTTCCAGGCTGCTTCCAATTGAAATGTAAAAAGTAAAGCTGTAGGATTCTGAGAAGCAATTTTTGAATATTTCTTGGGCAGAGAAGAGCTTTCTAAACAGAGAATCAAAACTGGAAACCAGAAAGGAATCTATTAATAAATATTGATTACCAAGAAATGTAAACCTTGTGCAAGTCTGAGCACACAGATCTCCTCAAACCCCCAGATTCCCGATGAGATAAAAAGTCTAATTCTAGAGACTGAGTAGCTACATTTAAAATGTATAAGCAGGCAGTAAACTAGGTGAAAATTTACATAAATATCTACAGAATGGCCACCTTGTAGGGGTATACCTCACTAGGCCAGAAGGGTTCAGTCTCCAGAGAAGATCACATTTCAGCCCAGATCCCTCAGAAACCTCAGACCACACTCACACCATTAGCCAAAGTAAACATGAAAAGAGAGGCAGCCTCAGAATTGTCCATGCATTCTGCAAAGTTGAAATTGAAGCCATGGGGCTCGGTAATTCCCAGAAATAACAGCTGAATCTAAACACAAGGTGGATTTATGAGTTGATGGCAGGATCCATGTAAAGGTTTGGGTTTGAAAATACAGAGTTGATGTAGCGCCCAGACCCTTTGTGTGGAGTTAGCTTTTCAAGTATTTACTCAGCCTGAGTAAAATACTATCAAGCTGTTTAGGATTGAAAACCCACGTGATGATCAAGGTCAAGTGAAAGCCGGAAGTCACTTCTGAGAGTGCCAAGTAGAGTCCAGCTGTTCCACCTGCTGACCGGCCACGGCCAGCTCTGAGCAGTGCTGGAAAAGCATTTAGCCTCGTCATGAGTCTACAGCACATTAGCGGTATCCTCATTCGCTCCTTCAACTTGCAGTGACTCCGGATAATGAGCCATTTCCAGGTGGAAATGAGGCCCATGAGTTTTGTGGGCACATATTTGAACTGGGGGGCAGGGGGCTTCCTGAGAAGCCATCCCAGTGAAGCTGGTGTTCTGGTCACGTGGCAACCACGGAGCCATGTCCACTTGGCTCCTGTATCCTTGCCCAAGCCACGGGTGGAGACTTGAGAAACCCCCACGAGCCTCTGCGGGCCTGTCACAAAGAGCCCAGCTAGCTCAGACCCAAGACACTCGCCCTTTTCCCTTCATACTGTACAGTGGTAGCGGTGTCCTGGTGGGAATATTTGAGGGTGGAGGGAAAATAATTTTGGGGTTATCCGTTCCAGCCTCCATCTTCCCTTGCTCAGCCTGAGGCTCCACAGCTGAATACACTGAGTCTCACTGAGCAGGAAGCAGTCCCGAGAGCACTTTATTGGGCGAGTCATCTGAGAAGCTCTAGGAGACCTCATTTTGGGCAGATTTGGGTACTCGCTGTAGGAGAAAATCGCCGTGGGAATGCTGGAGCCCTGTGATTAAATGTTCTCGGTGTCTGGGGGGCTGTGAGGAAGGAGGGTTCCCAGACAGAGGGCATAAAACTGAGCATTCCACTGCTTTGCCCTGGGGAACAAAGGGCCTTTCCCCACCCTACCCCCAACCACCCCCACTCAGGGAGACTTTGAAATGTAACAGGTAACATTCAACTGGACAGGCCGGGACGAGCCCACCCGACCTGGCCGAGGGCAGCACGCCCCTGGCCTCGCTGGTACCAGACCATGAGTTTGTCTCATCCTGTGCTCAGGTGCAGGACAGCGGCGCGGTGGTGGAGAGAGACCCTTGCACTTGGGATCAGACCTGGCCCCCGGGACGGGCGTAGAGGTGGCTCTGAAGCATCGTCATGGGGCTGGGGTGGGTTTGTCCAGAGCTTTCTCTACGAGGCCCCCTCTCACACCGGCCCTACGACCCCTCTCACGACAGGTGTGGAGGACATCGTGGCCATAATGATCCCTGAGCTGAAAGGGCGGGAGATCGTGAGCCTCCTGGAGCGGAACCTCACGGTCACCATGTACATCACCATCGGCACCCGAAACCTGCAGAAGTACGTGAGCCGCACGTCTGTGGTGTTTGTGTCCATCTCCTTCATCGTCCTGATGATCATCTCCCTGGCCTGGCTGGTCTTCTATTACATCCAGAGGTTCCGCTACGCAAATGCCAGGGATAGGAACCAGGTAAGAAGCAAAAGATGCAGCAAAGAAATTGCCACGAAAGTAAAAGCCTGTTGTGGTACACGCTTTGAAAGCAGACATGAGCGAGGTAGACCAGGACTCCCTGTGGAACCCTCACACAAGACCAGCACCCTCAGGGGAGTCCTCGCTCAGATCCCGTCCAAGTCTGTGTTTTGATGGTTCAGAATATGATTCTGTATCACGGAGGTGCTTTATCCCATATTCCTGCTGCTCAGTTTCGGGATGGTTCTTTAATTAGGCACATAATAAGAGGGGAAAGGGAAGGTGAATGGAGAGGATGTTAACAGTGGCGATATAATGTGGAAAGCGCCAGGATTTCCTCCTGTGAGCACAAGAAGCAGCAGAGTAATTGCTTTTTAAAATAACTTCTAAAAAATGTGGACAGATAACAGATTTCCTTGGCATAAATGCTGCACAATGAGCAGTAATTGTCTTCCCATCTCTCTCTCTGTTGTCAGGGCCCCTCCCACCATAGCTTCTCTTCCATGGTAGTTTATGTGACTACACACACACACTGTTCCACATATACATGAGATGATGGCGCCCTCAACTCCACACCATTATGCAGAAAATCGGGTCAGTCACTTGCAGCAGTAACTACAAGTCGAGGCCAGGATGAAACCTCAAGCTGGAATTACTTGAGTAATTTTTCAGTGGCTGATTTTTCGCTTGCTCTTGGATATGCATTCATATCAACACGCAATCCAAGCTGCCCTTCCTCATTTCTACTGACTGTATGACTGTTTTTTAATGCAAGTTACACTTATCAAACCAGCTTCTTCAGTGGCTATGTCTTCTCTTACCGAACACAACAAATAACTTTTAAAATCCAAATACATGTCCATGAGATGTTGAGCGCACTGGAGAGTGTCTGAGGTGCCTTCTAGAGGTTTCATAGTTTGGGCGATGGTACATATATTTTAAACTGTGATAGATTCTGCCAACTTATCTGCCAAAAAGACTGAGCAGTATATAATATTTCTTGACAAGGGCAGCCACAGTTATACGGGAGTTTGTTTTATAATTGTCTACCAGACGCGCTTTCGCTGTTTTTCTACATGCACTCACTCAACACGCACCCGACACCAAGGAGGTGTGTGTAGCTGGCGTGTGAGAAATACAGAGCAAATTCAGACCTGGCTTGGGCTAGAAAAAACACAGGCATTCGCTTAAAACTCTGAATTAATGGCCCTCCCTGGTGGCGCAGCGGGTTAAAGCACAGCACTGAGAACTAAAGCCACTTCCTCATGAGTTCAATTCCCGCCTGCCCCGGAGGTGACCACATGGCGTGGCAGACCTCTCCTGACCCGCCCGCTGCTCCCCTCAGCAGTGTACTTCGTTGATCTGCCTGTTCTGCTCCCCACTCTGTCTCTGGTGAAGCCTTTCACTGCCCCTAAGCCTCTGGCCTGTACCCCAGTTCTGCATGTACAAATAAATCTTAAAAAACAAACAAACAAAAAAAAACTCTGAATTAAAAGGAATGCCCAGGCTATAAAAGAAAAGAGATGACCGTGAAAACGAGACGAAGCCCCCCACGGCTCCAGCTGGGCCATCTCCACCGCAGGCAGGCAGACGGCTGAGGCCGTACGGGTCGAGGCCTCCTGTCTGCCGGTCTGCTCAGAGGTCACCTGTTATATAGCTGCTGGGCGCGAGGCCCCGTGGCAGGGCCAGTATGCACAGACACCCCCACCCACGTCATACGCCAGGCACCGCCGCCTGTGCAGTACTCCGGGGAGAGCCGCCCCAAGGCACGCACATCGCCATGGCGTGTTGGGAATGCCCCCTACAAGGCTAACGGGCAGCTTTTGCTTTTTCAGCGTCGACTGGGCGATGCAGCCAAGAAAGCCATCAGCAAGCTCCAGGTCAGGACCATCAAGAGAGGCGACAAGGTAACTGCCTCCGTAACTGCTTCCCCTCTGGTGAGGAGCTTGACCCAGAAGCTCCGACCACCTGGCCCCAGCGGGCAGAGCGCAGGCTGGAAAGAGAACGTGAGCGCGAGGCCCTCAGGGCTGTTCTGTGCCCTTCAGACTGAGCGCGTTAGCCATGGACCAAAGGAAGCAGCGCAGTAGTTGGGTGGGAAGCAGCTGCGGTGCCGGCAGCAAGGGGGTCTCCGGGATCTGGGCCCGGGGTCCGGCAGCCGCCCCCTCTCTGCAGAGAGTGCTCGAAGCAGAGCTGTGCTGGGGAGGCAGAGCCAGCAGGCGGGCTGCAGGCCTGGGGCCTCTTCTTCCCAGGAGGGAGTTTAGAGCAGCAGGGGTCGGGGCCCCTTGGCCCCCTGTGTGGGCTTCAGAGCCCCCAAGTAGCCCAGGGCCGGCTTTTTCTGAGTAATCGATCGGTCTCCCTGACGACGTGCTATGGCTCTTTAGAAGCTAAAATTCATTTAAAAGCATTTCCGAGTTGACTTTTTCTCTTCTCAAACAGAACAACAAAAGCGTAAGAGCTGTTGCACCAGTTGCATCTTATGGCTATTAAGAGAGATTTAGAGAGTCATTTTGAAAAGTATGAGACACTGTTTTAGAGTGTGTACATGAGCTCCCCGTCCAGTGGAAAGATTCGTATCATTCGGACCAGCGTCCATAAATAGCATCTCACCCTGGAGGTTTGGATAAGCCACCTCCGGGTCCAGTGCAAGGTGTTGGTAGTCACGGTGCGTTGAATCATTGCTTCCTCCCACAAGCACTTTCCAAAGCAGCAAAAAGTGGGCGTGGGCCACAGTGGCACTGGGCCGCCTGCAGCCGACTGGGCGCTGGCAGCGAGGCGGGGGTGTGCGCGTGGCTCCGGGGCAGCGAGGCCGGGCAGCAGGCTCACCCGCACTCTCTGTTGCAGGAGACAGAGCCCGACTTCGACAACTGTGCCGTCTGCATCGAAGGCTACAAGCCCAACGACGTGGTCCGGATCCTGCCCTGCCGGTGAGTGCTCGGCCCGGGGTGGTTTTCACTTGATCGTTTGGTCGTCAACATTATGTATGAGATTCAGAGGACAGAGCAGCATTTCCTCTGTGGCTGCCGCCACGCCACACCCACCACCGAGCCCCCACAGGGCTCCCCGGGGCCCACTGGGCCCCTCCCCGCCCTGCCCGCCCGGGCCTCCCCACTGTGTTCTCAGTTTTATACTCAGGTTTCTAGGGTTTGCTGTTGGTGCTGCTGGGTCTGGCTCTGCTTTTATTCTCTGTGCACTCCACACACAGGCGAGGCCATCTGGCCTTCCCCCTCTGCTCCGCTCCGGGGTCACAAATGGCAGGGCTCGGCTCTGCGTCGGGGTGTGCCCGGGTCCTGAGCTGGCTTGGCCAGAGCGGCCCGCGCAGAGGGCTCTGGGTTTAATAGCAAACAACCCCAGGCCGCTCACTTTGTGTGACCCTCTCCCGGGAAAGTTTCATCTTGTGACGTTAGAATGACTTTCCAGACCCTCAGTACCAAGGAAGCCCAGTGCCCCGGGGACCAGGACCCAGGGCCCAGGGTGTGCAGAGGGGGCTGGGTTTCCGCCATAGCAAATCTGAGGGAAAAGATGATTTCTTCATTTCGCAAGTGCTATTTTCATGAAGATAATTACTAAAAATATTTTATAAAGGGTAAGCTGACAGAATATGGGTCAGAAAATGGGAAGGGGAAGGCAGATTCCACTTCCCTTGATTGGCTCTAACGGTCACCTCAGATATTCTGGAATCCAGGAGGCGGAACCACTCCCCAGCTGACCATAGACTCCCCCTCCTGAAGCTCACTGTTGTAGGAATCCTTTCCACGTAGTTAACGTTGTATACATCTGTACACTTTGCTAGTCACGTATTTTTAGTTGCATCAAAGCTGCCCTCTTGAAGCCGACAGGGTTTTGCATTTGTGCAAGGTCCTAAAAACACAAGTTAAATTATGCCTTGGAGGCAAGAGTCTTCACATAAAATAGCTTTGAAAATATTTAGAGAACTTAAGTGAAAAAAGAGAAAAAATGCAGATATCAAGCAACCCACACTTCATGCAAAAACCGTGCATTCCAGACCCTCAGCACACCAAAGAGATCAAGTACAAATTTAGAGGCGTGAGCATGCTAATCGCGAAAATGACCCAAAATCACCCAAAAAAGGTATGAGGTACTCAAACAGAGACAGACAGCCCCAGGAATGAGTGGTCCTTGCAATGCTCAGAAGAAAATGCACCTGCAGGGAAGCCCCGGGGGGCGCTCCCAGCCCCTCGCACGGAGCTCCAGCCCGACTCCAGCCCCGCCACCGATGCTTGGCCCTCGGCCCTCGCCAGGGCGGTCACAAATCAGCACGCCAGGAAAGGTCGGGCGGCACTCGTGAGCCGCCCCACGCGCCTCCTTTGGCCCCGAGACCTAGGCGTGTCCTTGGTGACGCCCAGGAACACCAGCCAGATGCGAACACAGCAGGCTCACTGGGCCGGGCCTCCATCTCCAGCCCATGACTAAGGGTCTCAAGGCCTCGCAGTGGCAAGAGAGCACACACGCCTTCATTTTGCTGTTTGGAGACATTAGCCCAGAGGCTGCAGTGAATAAAAGTGACTGAGGCAGGCAAAAGTTGTATGGCAGCCTGCCCTGGGCCTCTGAAGAGCGATACACCGTCACCAGAATCCCCCTTTTGAAATCTGCACACAGGTGACTCTGTGCATGGGGTAAGCAGTGTTTTATTCAGAGGTTACCTCAAAAAGAAGGGAAGCAAACTACTGACAAAATAGTTGACTCCATAAAGGAAGCTGTGCAGTCACCCAAGGAGGGGCTGAGCCTTTCCTCAGGGAGTTCACATCCAGGGTCAGGTCCTCAAGCAAGACTGAGGGCCAGGAGACCGGGTTCTGGAGACCCGGTCAGGCTCTGTCACAATCCCTGACCTTACCTTGCTGTTGTGGTTAACTGAAGTAACACAGCACTATAATATTATATAAACTTCAGGTGTGAGGCAATCTAAGGCATCATCTGTATATGAAGTTCACCGTACATTGATCCCTTTTACCCAGTTTTCCCTACTCACCTCTTCTGCTTTCCTTTTGGTAACCGGTAATTGAGCTTATGGTCTTAAAGTCTTTGTTTTTATTTCATCCATTTGGTTTCTTTCTCTGAGTATAATTATATCATGGTTGTCTTTCTCCATCTGATTTACTAAATGCAATCATTCTTGGTCCATGTAGTTACAAATGTCAGGAGTTCATTTTTGTGGCTGAGTAATAGTCCACAGATTATAGCTAGCACCTCTCACCCACTCCTCTGTCAGCGGGCACTTATGTTGTTTCCAGCTCTCGGTTATTGTAAATCATGCTGCAGTAAGCATGGGACTCAGTATCTCTCAAGTTGGCAGGTTTTATTCAGGTAGATACTGACAAGTGGGATAACTGGGTTGTACAGAATTTCTGGCTTCAGTTTTCTTGCAGAATCTCCAGATTTCTTTCCATGGCGGACACACCTACTTACATTTCCATGAATAGTGCACAGAGTTTCTTCATCTCTTCATCCTCCAACGTTTGCTGTTTCTTGTCTTTTTGAGAATATGTGGTTCTCAAGGCACAAAATAGTATCTCCTCATTGTTTTGATTTTCACTTCCCTAATAAGAGAAATGCTGATCATCTGTTTGCCTTCCATTTGGAGAAGTGCCTTCAGATCCTCTACCCATTTTTTAATTGGGTGGCTTTTTCTTTTTTGTTGAGTTTCATGAGTTCTTTGCGTACCTTTAATGTTAACACCTTGTCAGCTGTATCATGTGCAAGTAAGTCCCACTCCAGTTGGGTGACTTTCCATTCTGATGATGGCTTCTTTGGACTCAGCAGCATTTGGTTTGATGTCCCGTTTATTGTGGCTTCTGTTTCCCTTTCCACCAGAATTAGGGCCCTAAATGTATTTCTCAGGCCAATTTTAGTTACCATTAAAGCTTTTCTATTTAACATTTAAAAGTTGTTTAACTTTTGAAGTTATTTTAAAACATTGTATGGCTGCATAACAGTTCACTGGAATTTATTTAACTGTTCCTCTTTTGGAAAGTATCTAAGTTGCTTCTAATTTTCATCATTATAAAAAAAATGACCTACATGTATCCCATGAGATACATATAGTAAACTCAATGTGTCAGAAGTGATCTTAAAGGTACTGATAAGGCCTGTTCTGCTTTCCTGAAAGGTGACAGTGACATTTAACCTACAAGCAGAATGTGAGTACAACTTCTGTTCTTTTAGAACCAAGAAGTACCATTTAAAGCACCATCCTCACACAAAGGTGGCACCTAATTCTCACGCCATGTCTTTCATTCTGTGAGATCTCACTGTGGACTCGCTGTTGACTCACAGGAGCTCTTTAAATTTTATGGCTAGTACCAATGGTCATTGGCTGTAAGATCCTAATTTCAGAGCTGTGGTCAAGAAAATAGTGTGAAACTAAATATTGTAAAATGTACTGTTAGTTAGAATTAATATTTTCCTTTTTTGATAAGTAGTGCATTTTCTAATTTGAGTTTTTAGCATGCTTCTTTAGAGAAAAATATTGTTACAACCATTATGAATTTCTATTTTGACCTAATTAATTCTCCCCCCACAAACTAAGAGATCACTGAGCTACAGCTTCCAAATTTATCTGAAATGTGTTCGTGAGCACATCGCACCCAGTGGTCATGTTTGTGAGTATCATTCTTTCAGAGAGCTAATTTTACATACTCTGCCAAACAAAATTGTGTTCAAAATAACACAACTGCCTTGAAAGTGTGTTTGGCCCTTCCCCGCAGGGTTAAACACGCCCTCCTCTAACCCACCAATTCCGTCCCTGGGGCACCCCCAGGAGAGACGGGTGCACGCGTTCACGGCATCCGTGGACCCGAGTGCAGGTCACCTTTCACTCTACTCGCCAAAGCATCCGAATGTCTGACAGCAGAAAAGTATCAACAGGTAGTGGCGGCACATTCACAGAATAAAGTACTCCTAAGTAAAAGAAACAAGCTGTTGGGACCCATGAAAAAAGTTAGGTTGAGCAAAAGAAGTCAGATAAAAAAGAAAACCTGCCTGGTTATTCCATTCATGTAATGTCCAGTCACAGGCAGAGCTCACCAAGTCATCCCTATGGCTCCACAGCAGAGAAAGAGGAGGAGCATTCTAGAACTCTCTGGGCTGAAGGAAGCAGTGTGCATGCATGCTCCCACATACATACACACTTGCCTTTCATCATACAGCGTACCTTTGCTATAGACCTTTAAAATGTTTTCACTTTGTACATGGGTCAAAATTACATGAAACTTTCAAAGTTTGCTGGTAGCATTTTCCTAATAATCTTTCTTTGATGACCTTGTAGGTGTACGTGCCAAAAAGGCCAGCTCTCGGTTACTGCAGGGGTCGCGGGAGGGGCAGGAAGGGAGACGAGGTGGGGGCAAGGGGGCCTGTGTCTCTGGTCCGCAGAGCCAACTCTGCCTGCAGGGAGAAGCCCTGAGCCGCAGTGGCCCTGTTCAATGTGGCATCTGGACTTGAGCTGTCAGCCAGGCTCCTTGCTCACTGACAGGCTGGCGCTTGGCTCTGCTGGCCGACCAGGCTCCTGGGAGCGGTTCCCAGGACCACCAGCCCGCACCTGAGCCAGAGACACGGCTCAGAACCAGGCGTGTGCTTTCCCGACCAGGCCATCGGATTCGGTGACGTTCTTTGCGAATGTCCTGGCTGTGGGCGTTGCTAACTGGAATCCTAGATCAGAAAATCGGTGGGAGCAGCTGGAGTCTTGTGGTCTCCCGAGGGGGCGTGGGACGGAATACGACTGCCCTGCAACGTCGTAACGCAGCCCAGCCCGGCTCGGGAGTCACTGGTGCTGCCATCGTGGGTAAATGATGGGACACCAAGAGGGACATTGTGCCTGCCCACCCCGGTGCCCCGCGGACGCCATGTCTGTTGCCCTTAGACTATAGTACCACCCTCTAACAGATGCCGCGGACGACACCGCCTCAGAGGG